TCTCACTGTGTTGACCACGAGAAGAAGGGACCAGACTTAGTTGGCCAGGGACAGTACAACATTGGACAGGTCTGTACCATGTAACGTAACTTTCTCTCCCTGTCTCTTTTTTTTCCTTCTCGGATTTTAGGCTTTATTGCTAATTTTTTGGTAGCTAATCCCTGAAACAGTTCCATCGAAGGTCACTTACTGAGTTGGAGATCAATGTGTAAATTAGGAAAATTCTGAGTTGGTGAACCTTATCTGTCTTCTTTTGCTCTTTAAACAACAATGAACTGTTCACGTAAAAGAAATGCACAGATCAGGTGACCCTGTGACATGTTCTTTTTTCCTTTTTTTAGTTTTAGTTTTGCTATAGGGCGTGTGCACTTAGAGAGAGAGAGATTGAGAGAGAGAGAGAGAGAGTGAGAATTCACCCCCCCAGGGGGTTGGCCATGCTACAGTACCTTCTTTTCCATTCTCCTCTTCAGATTTTGGACATGGATGCACACATGCCTCTCAAACCTCTGGATCTGGGATATGAACCTTGCAGTTGGCTATGTGGGATCCAGTGTCTTAACCTGTAAGCTCAGAAATGTTCTTTTTGATGAGTGCCTACCTTTGATGTAATCAAGCTGAATTTAACTGATTAGTTTTCAATGTATTGGGTTGTTGGAAAAGTCATGATGTATTTTACTATGCAAAAATGTGTCATGACTTTTCTGTTGATCCAATAGTTTCTTTTTTTTTTTTGAGAGAGATTTTTGCTATAGGATGTATGTACTCATCAGACAGCAAAAAGTCACTCCAGGGGGATGGCCACACCACAGTCCTTCTTTTTCATTCTCCTCTTGAGATCTTGAGCACGCGTGCACATGTACCCAGTGTAAGTTTTAAGCCACCAGGTTTGGGACTTGAACTGTGGTCGACTATATGGGAGTCCAGTAAAGTAACCAGCACACCATCTGCTGCTACCCATAGTTAATTATTAACAGTTGAGTAAATCAGGCTTTACACACTGGAAGTCACTTTGTGCTGTTTCCCCTTGACTTCCCTCAGAAGTCAAACATCTGAGCATGGAGCATGGTAACTTGGGAGTCCCAGCACTGGGTGACTGTGGGAAGGACGGGGGTGGCTGTCACTGTGGTAACATGGAACACGGACTAAAGGACTATGAAATAGAGCCAATTACTTCCTAGAGAATTTACCGATTATAATTCCTGAGGGGTAAAGACAGACCTTTCTGGCCAAGAGAACTGATTGTGAAGCATTAAAATAAGAATATTACTTTGAAAGAAGTGATTATCACATAGGATTGCAAGCAGCCCAACAACACTGTTGTCTCCAATGCTACCTCACACTGTGAAAGCCAACGAGTCATTCTCACATAGATGTGATCAGGCTTGTTTCCTCCTCTGTCCCCATCCTACTATCCATATGGGGACCAATTCCCCATCTGCCCATTCCTATCATTCTTCACAGTTGAGATTTTCATGATGATAATAATTACTGTTGTCCTCAGGTTTGGGTTTGATAATGTTTCACTTTTGAAAGCACTTTCACCCTTTCTCAACATGCTCAGGTGTAGGAGGACATCTATTCCAGCATCTCTTACAGATAAAATAAGAAGCACAGGAGTCATCAGGTGGTGTGGTGGTTAAGGTGCTGGATCCCACATGGCCGACACCACGATATGAGTCCCGGACCCAGTGGCTTGAAAAACATGTTGGGCATGTGTGTGCATGAATGTCCCAAATCCTGAAAATAGAATGGAGGAAGAGGGATTGTGGCATGGCATAGTCATCCCCCTCCAGGTGTGTGTGTGTGTGTGTTGGGGGGTGGATAATTTATCACTTTCCCTCTCTCTCTGGAAAGTGCATGTGCCCTATGGCAAAAACAAAAAATCCACAGAACTTATGGTAATGATTTTTTTGAGATCCCATTTCTTCTTTACTGTCACATGGGAAGTTAGCTTCTCGTGGCAAAGCTAATGTCCTCATCTAACTTTCTCTTCTCAAGATCTGACCTCTTTTGATGTCTTCCCTAGTGAGTGCCATGCCAATAGATTGAAACTCCATCCTTCTGGTTTCCCAGGCCAAACATCTGAAATCACCTTTGATTTCTCTTTTTTCTTACTTTCTTCAATTCTCCATCAGCAAATCTCATGGACATCACTTTCAAAATTGTCTAGTGGGGGGCCAGCAGGTGGCATGGTGGTTAAGGCACTAGACTCCCGTGTGGCTGATCACTATTCAAGTGCCAGACCTGGTGACTTGCTTTCTCACTTCCTCTCTCTCTTTCTGGTGAGGACACGTGCTCTATTGCAAATAATAATCATAATAACAAATAAAATTAAATAAATTTTTTTGGGAGATTTTGACTTAGGGTCTCTGTGCTTGCTGTTCTTTCTGCTTGGGCTGGATTCTCTCATATAGATATTCACTTATCTTTCATAGATATATGTATATATCTATATATTTATATATCTATATCTAATATATACACATCTCATATATTTGAGAGGGTTTCCTTAAATATTCTACATAAAATAGCAATCCCTTTCACCCCTATTTATCGCTTTTTTTTTTTTTTTTGAGAGATTTTTACTATAGGGCACGTTTGCTCGCCAGGAAGACAGAGAGGCACAGAGAGACAGAAAGCGAGAAATCAACCCCCAGGGCGGATGGCACGGCCACAATACCTTCTCCTTCATTCTACTCTCATGCCACAATACCTTCTCCTTCATTCTACTCTCAGGATCTTGGGCATGCACGCACATGTGCCTGGCATGAGTTTAAGTCACTGGGTCCTGGACTCGAACCACAATCGACTACATGGGAGTTCAGCAACATAGTCATTACACTAATTGCTGGTCCCCCTATTTATCACTTTTTAGCCTTCTTATCCTCCTTTATTTTTCTCCAAAGTAATTGTCACCCTCTGAATCCTTTGTGTTTTGTTTTTGCTTTTCCCTTTCTTTGTCCTGTAGGAATATAAACTCCTCAAAGGCCATCACTTAGTTTGTTCATTGTTGTGTTCCCAGGGGCCTATAACTATGCTAATGGTATAAAATATTTGCACTCACAAATACTCATTGAATGAATGAATGGGTTAATAAATTCAGAACTGTTAACAGGTGGAATGGGCTGCCTTGGTTGACAGTAGTATTCCAATAATGGCAGGGTATCAGGCAGTTTCCTTAAGGATCCCAGGAGTTGAACACAATATACTGTAGGGTCAAGAGCATGGGTCAGAGAGAACTGGTTTTAGTCTTTTCCTCAACAGTTACTATTCTGCAACATTGAATAATTAACTCATCTTATCTCAGTTTTCTTGTCCGTTAGAAGGATTTTATACTTTCTTTTTTTAATTGTGATTATTCACTCTTAATTATTATTCATACATTAAATTGCTATACATCATTTAGATTGTGAAGAGACTTTACCCAGCACAATTTACACCTCAGTCCAGCCCAGCTGAGACTACCATACACAACCAGACGATTTCAACATTGAAATTAAACAAGATAGCACATGTAAAGCATTTAGCCTAGTTCCTAACACTTAATAAATATGCAGCAAACATCAGCTATTAATGTAATAATAATAATAATGGTCCTTCCAACTTTGGGATTCTGAGAATCTATGAAGGGCTGTGCCCAAAACCACTCAAGAGAGGAGTGTATCTTTTGACTTTCGGTGGGTTATGTTTTTCCTGCCAAATTCATTGTCAGTTTACATTTTTTTTTTCCTTTAGGCTTCCTTCTTTAGTTCTGGTAAGGTTCCTACCTCTCCTGGCTCTCCTTTGGTCTCTCAAATTACTTTTAATTTTGAATGATTTCTCAAACCTGTCTTGCCTCCATCTTGATCTTCACTGCTGATATTTATTTTGCCTAATGCCAATTTTGAACCAAAAACAATCCCACCACAGATTGCTTATGCTGACTCAGATTTAAGTGGGATGAATCAAATATCAACTCACTGACTCCTCACTGGTTTGTCTCTTGCATAAACTGAATACTCAGAAGATGACTGCCAATCATGCATTGGTGGTGTGGTGTTCAAGACAGGGCCAAGTGTAATAATAATCAGTATCATAGTAAATATTATTATCAATCAACTGTGCTAATTTTCATAATCTAAATATTTGGGGCTATAGTGTTGAGGTTTTGAAGCTGTGAATCAACTGGGAAAAATGAGATATTGGCTACAGACATGGGGAGCTGTTTGCAGAAGGATAAAGAGGAATGATAAATACTAAATGTCATGTAATGTCTATTCAGGCAATACATTTGCAATAAAATGGGGGAATTTTTTTTTTAACTGAAAATGGGTTACTCATCGATATATTTTAAAATTATTTTTCTTATTTTTATTTCACTTGTAATTATTATTTATTTTTGAATTTGACCAGAGAGAGAGAGAGAGAGAGAGAGAGAAAGGGAAAATGAGAAAGTAAGCTGCCAGGTCTGGGACTCAAACCATTGTCAGCCATGTGGCAGTCCAGTGCCTTAACCACCATGCCACCTTCTGGTCCCAACTAACTGATACTTTTGAGACAATTACAGTCTCAAAAGAAAGATAAAAGTAATTCCTGGAACAGGGTGATTTCAGTATCCAATATCAAGTATTAATGGGGAGGCAGGGTGGAGAGGAGAGGTGGGGACAGGGGGTGTATGTGTATGGCTAAATGACGCCCAGAGCCTGCCAGAATTTGGGGAACACATTTATCAGCTCACACACCCTCTAACGGCCTCCCATCCTTTTTAAGCAGCACGCATGAGGTTAGGCATTTTTTGCCTTTTTCCCTAAAGATGCCTTCCAGTTGATCAGCCTCCTGTCATTTTTTTTGTTTGTTTTTGTTCTTTTTCCTCCTGCTGTTTTTTAAGCAGTAAGGCCAGAGGTTAGACTTTTTCCCTGTTTTCCCAGCAGTCATTCACTCAGCGTTCATAAATCCAAGGCGTTCTGAAAGCATTGCATTTCTGTTTTTCCCTAGCACATTTAGAATTTAAAAAGTACTGCTCGCTTTGGCTGCTTATATTCTAAAATGGGAATAATACTGAGGAGATCTGCATGGCCCCGCACAAAGATGACATGTAAATTTGTGAGTTTTTTTTTTTTTTAGTTAATGGATACAAAAATGGAAAATTATCTGTTGATGATAATGTGTATGGTAAAATCTTTGACTGGACTAATATGCAGTATATTCATGCTGGGAAAGTTCACTTTGTATGCTGTAAAGATGTACAGCAATTACATGTAAAAAAATAAAATCAGAAAAAAATCGGGTTTTCTGTTGATGATAAAGTGTATGAGAATATCTTTGACTTGACTATTATACACTGTCTTCATGTTGGGAAAATCCATTTTGTTTGCTGTAAAGGTGTATGGTGGTTAAATGTAAATGTAAGAAAAAAGTAATAAATAATTTAAAAAGTAAAATTTCTTTCTTTCTTTCTTTCTTTTTTTTTTTAATGTTCTGGTAACACACTTTGAAGACCTCCAGGTGACTCTCCTGTGATGCGGACCTGTCACTTCGCTCAGCTTCCATTTCTGCATATTGCCAAGAGAGATCACACTACCTGCCCTACATCTTTCAAGGCTTAAACAGGACGATGTATCTGGAGCTATTTTCTGAACTATACAGAAATGTCTGAGCTTTAGGTGTTTTGCTCATCAGCACTGCTATGGAGATAGGTGTTACTGACCAGCTAGCTCCTTGCGTGGCTTCTTGCCAGCATATTTTCTGACCTTCTGACTTTTGGGGTGGGGGGGCACAGTCAGGATTCACTTTCCTCTTGGGTGACCACGCTCACATCAAACTCAAAAGGAAAGAAGCCTGGAAGGAAGAACTATTGACTCTAGTTTTCCTAAAGCAATTTCTTACTGAGCATTACTTTCAAATGGGGAAAAACTAGATTCTGAACCCGTTAAGTCTAGGTTTTCTTGTCCCTGATCACTCCACTGTGTCCTGATTACTTGCTGTGTTTCCATCCAACTCCTGTTGTTCCTTTTTTCACAAGCTGGTCAGATGTTCTTACTTTTATTGTGAGACATAGCCCTGGCCTGCCCCTGGGGTGGTACTCTGGTGGTACTCTGCTGTGAGCTTCTTTTGGTCCAGAAATGCAGTTTTTTTAGACAGTGAGAGTTAGAGTATTTGAGATCCACTCCATTTGCCATCTTTGCTGCACTGTCTCCTCCTTGTTGGGAAAGATGTGACCTTGGCAGAATGATATGACCTTCCCTTTGACAGAGCAGTTCATGCTGACGGGGTGTAAATTGAGTAGGCCTTATTGTCTATTATTTATCTTTCCTTACCTAGAATAATCAGTTTAGGCCCTCATTCCTGAGCAAGGTGAGCGTTTCCTAGAGAAGATAGAGTGCCTATACAATTCCTTGGTCTAGGGCTGTTGCTGGGAGAAATATCCAAATGGACTAACAATCCATAGATTATTGACCCATTGACAAGTGATCATGATTATCACACATAGTACCATATATATGGTCTTAAAACTTTTGGACAAGGAAGAAGAAGATGAGAGGATCCTAAAATAGAAGTAGGTAAGAAGGGAAAATAGAAGTAGAGAGCAGAAAGAAATCTGGAATGGATACTCTGAAGTATTTTAACCTCTTAGGAGTTCAACTTTAAAGACAGCTTGTCTCAAACCAACATTTGGATTGATCCTGAAACTAGCTAAAATGAAGACCCCTCACTAATAAATATTATCTATTGCATTCTTATCATATACTCGGTAATTTACACTGCTCCAAGAGCTTCACAAGAATCATACTTCATAATGTTCAAAATATCTGCTCTTTGGCCCTGTTTTTCAGATGAGAAAACAGATGTTCGGAAAAGAAGACTGAGTTGCCCAAGGTCACACAGTGAGTATGCCAGTCACCTGGCAACTTGTTCTCAGCTCTATGTCTTACTCTGCCTCTGCTCTTCTCTTTCTCTCAGGGAACCATATATCCCAGGCTCCCTTGCTGACCAACTACCAGGTACCATTAGTCCCTGGGAGATGCTGAAGGAAGAATGGAAAAGGGAGCAGGGAAGAACCAGAGAACTCCCATCTCTGACTCCTGGGTCTCCTTCAGGGCAGCATGTCAGGCAGGAATTACAGCTCCTTTTGCTTCTTGAGTTCTGGATTCTGGATTCCTCCTCCCTCTTTGGTCCAAGAGCTCATGAAGTTGCCTCTGCTGCCATGATTCTAGTTCCCTCTGACTGGCCTTGCCTGGTAACATTTACTTCCTGTGTCACTCTACCACCAGAAAATGACTCCTTTCTACTGCTAATTCCTGAGTTGCTCATCATACCTCCAAATTCATATATCAAAGCCCTTAATCTCCAATGTGACACTATTTAGATATGGGGCCTTTGTTGGACTGAATAAAGATTAAATAGGGGCCATATAGTAGTGTAACAGTAAAATGTGAACTTCTCTGAGGCAATTCCATTTGAGAAAAAGATTCCTCGTTCAAATTTAGAGACCTCCCTACTCTGCGCACACACTTGTCGATGACCCAGTGCTGGCTGAAAGCAGAGGGTGGATTGCAGCACTAAGACCCTGTTGGAATGCTCACTCTCTCTCTTTTTCTCTATCTTTCATACTCATAGAAAATAAAACTTAAAATATTAATGTTAAATGAGTTTATAAGAGTAGGGTCCTGATCCGATAGAACCAGTATCCTTATAAGGAAGACACTAGAGAGCTTCTTGTCTCTTTGATATCTGAGAACATAGTGAGAAGATGATCATCTGTAAACCTGAAATAGAGTGAGCATGAGAACATGAGCATGATGGCAGCCTGATATTGGACTTCTAGCCTCCAGAACTGTGAGGGAGAAAAATTCTGTTATTTAAGCCATCCAGTCTATTCACATAGTATTTTGTTAAGTATGAACTGACTAATACATTTTCTTTTGGCTTCTCATCTTTTCCTTAACTTGTGGTATATTTCCCTGAATTGAATTTTTTTCTTTTTTAACCTCCTAGAATTTTTTTTTTTTTCGTCGTCTTCTTCTCTTGACGTTTGGACCTCCTAGAATTTTTTTTTTTTCGTCGTCTTCTTCTCTTGACTGGCCTTTTTTTTGGAGAGGTTTTTGCTATAGGGCAAATGCACTCGCCAGACAGACAGAGAGAGACAAAGAGACAGAAAGCGAGAAATCACCCCCCAGGGGGGATGGTCACACCACAAACCCTTCTCCCCCATTCTCCTCTTGGGATCTTGGGCATGCATGCACACGCGCCCGGCGTGAGTTCTAAGCCACCCGGTCCAGGACGTGAACCATGGTCGACTATGTGGGAGTCCAGAGACATAGCCATTACGCTAACTGCTGGTTCCCTCTTGACTGGCCTTTGACTTACTGTGTCAGTTAGACAATCCAGAACTGGGACTAAAACCAAGATCTATTGATAACTGGATACCAAAATCTGTGCTCTTCAAAGCTACATGGCACTTCCTAGGTTGTTTTGATTGCCGGCAGAGATTTGGTAAAGAACCAAGTAAATTTTATAAAATGAAAGTTCTGTCTGATCCATAGTACCAAAAGGGACAGACATGGAAACAAATTTCCAGTTTTTGGAGGTTCTTAATGTGACAGTTCAGTCTCAGCCTTTCTGATACGGTAATGACAAACTGGAGAGGGGCGGTCTGTTTGTAGAGAGTGGACTCCAGTTAATGTCTTGCTGTGATGGAGTGGGAGAGGGGCAGGGATGGAAGGCATGGATGGGATGGGGACACTAGCCTTCTATACCAATATCATGGAATGGTTTAGCAAGCTCTGAGCTGAATGGAGCATTAGCTTGTCAATGAATTCTTTCTTTCTTTTCCAATAACATATGGTGCTATGGGATATTAATCCACAGAAAGTACACATCTTTAATGCCATTAACTGTTCTCATCCTTGTACAAGTGTTGCCTTAATTCCAGTGACATCTTGCTCACTTCTCTCCATCACCATTGAGGAGGAAGCAGATACTTTGGATGACCTTACTTATTTTTCCTTTCTTGGCCTTATTTTTCTATCTCTTAGTGGGGTCATTAAGAGCCACGTGTCTTCCTGAGCAAATCCGTTAAGCAATTTCCTGACAAAGAATAGGCCCAGCAGGTTACTAACTATGAGAAAGTGCTAAGTTTAGAAACAGGGGTGGCATACTTTATGGGTGACTGGTAAAGAACAGGAGTGGGCACTCATGTATCCAAATGTCATGGATACATGAGTTCCTACCAATCACAATGCTCATTCTAACATGCCAAGAGCACGAACTCAGTGTGCAGGCATGGTTAACTGCTTTCACTGGGACATTGGTGATTAGTACGCTTCAGAATCAATAATGCCCAGCACAGAGAATTGAATATCAGGGTATGTTAGTAACAGATGACAGTGGGTGGGATGTGGAAGTAACATCCAAATTTGTCTGAATTTCAAGCATTCAAAGCATGCTTTATTAGAGCTGTCCAAACCTATAGTTGCTTATGCCCAGAAATAATTTCATTTGATACTGAATCATTTTCATCCAGCCTAAGTGCTTTTCTTGTGGCAGGGTCAACAGGAGGCATGATGGTTAAGAGCGCTGGATTCCCATATGGCTGACCACTGTTTGATTTCCAGACCTGGTGGCTTGCTTTCTCACTTTTTTATTTTCTCTCTCTCTCTGTCCCCCTCCGGTCAAATAAATAAATAAATAAATAAATAAAGTTAAATAATAATAATAATAATAATAATTTTTTTGGAGAGGTTTTTGCTATAGGGTGCATGTGCTCGCCAGAAGGACATAGAGAGAAAGAGAGACAGAAAGCAGGAACTCCCGCAGGGGGAGTGGCCATGCCACAATTCCTTCTCCTCCATTCTCCTCTTGGGATCTTGGGCACGCATGCATGTGTGCTCGGTGTGAGTTTAAGCCACCAGGTCTGGGACTCGAACTGTGGTCAATTACATGGGAGTCCAGTGACATAACCATTACACCAGCTGCTGGTCCCAAATAAAATAATTATTTAAAAAAATAAACAAATGCTTTCCTTGTAGCTATTGCTAAGGAACAAAGTGTTGGTCAAAGGCAATGGGTTACATGTATTGCAGTATGTCATGTATTGTAGGTAACTCACTAACAGAAGAAACAC